TTAAATTCTATAACACACGCACAAACTTTCGTGGAAGTGCTCAGCCAGAAAGTCAAAGGAATCATTCTTTACTCTCGATATGCCAAGAGGAGATCACGCGTTTCTGAAAATCGAAGAAAAAAAGTGAGGAAAGGGAAGACCACCAAGGGGAATTCGATCCTCACACGTGTCGGGGAAACGGAAGGAGGAAGGCAGCTACACCGTAGTTTTAGAAAAAGGTTTGTAAAACACCAGAGTAACCGAACATATGTGCTAAGACTATGACATAAAATGTTAGCACGTACCGCTTTATGTCCCGAACGGTTGCTAACCATCAATGAGTGCGTGCCGGCAGACTAATTAGTACAAGTGTGAACAGAGTAGCTCAAATAGACATTGTGAAAAGTCCAGAACTAATTGACAGTTACATCCACTTGTTTATTAATAATCTCTTCTTGTAGAAAGTGCCATGTATCTCTTCGTGTGTTTTGGACCGTTTCTTTCTTCTCGCATTTGAGTATTACGGAAGTAAAAGACCGTGCCATCAAGAGTTGACGATCTGTGCGATGTGCGGCGAACAAACCCTAGCGGATGGTTTAAGAAATAATTGTATATAACGTAATAATCATGTGGTGACTTTCTATGTCTTAGTAACATGACAGATAATAGCTAGTGATGCTAATTTACACTAAGTGTTTTATAAAAAAAACAAAAAGCGCGTCTGTGCCTTTTCGATATTGAAAGTCTACTAGGCCTGCTGATTTAATTATATATGCTTTTCGTGGTTTCCCGTTCTTATCAAAATAAAAATAATTATTGGATACCATGAGATTGCGTTTGTTTGATTTCAAAAGGCGAACAAAAATTCAACAAAAGCGTTTCACAATTTATAGAAACTCGCAGGTCGGTATGCGTTGCAAAACGAAAATGTTTTCTTTTTTGTTTATAATATTCAGGCTTAAATATAAAACACACAAACAAAATAATACGTTCTCGACTTGTTTTGTTAGTAGATGGCTAGCATATATAAATTACATCGAAAATAAAAAATAAAAAGTTTTTTTATAAAATTAAATTAAAGTTAATATTTTTTTTTGGATTTTGCATAATATTAACGTCAATTTACCGCGCGGGTAATTCTGCACAGATAAGTAATTTTATAATATATATATATATATATATAAATAAGGAGCGTGGTTTTGGGCTCCCATCAACATAAAAAATGACGATGTAACTAATTGTCAAAATTCATCAAAAATGACCCCGAGGGTTCATTTTTGACATTTTTTTATGAGAAATCAGCAAAAAATGATTTCTTGACATTAGAGCCTTTTATCTGTACGTACAAAGTGGTTAAAAATGTTAATATAATGTAGACTGAATATCCACGTCGAGAGGTTCAGTGAAACATACGACCCAGAACGGATATGAAAAATACCGCTTTCCGCCGCGGCCTTTTTTAAGCTTCCTAAGTCGAGAACAAAAAATCCGACGAACTTAAGGTTTGTAGCAGCTGTGTTTTTAGAGATGACGCCATAACGTTTTTTTTTTCAGCAAAATTAGAATTTAGACTTTTACCCATTGAAAATACTCTCACATATGCCAAGTTGAACTAGCATTAAATAGATGCATCCTACAGATTTATTCACTGCAACGGAACTGCTGATGTCGAATGACAGTGCATATGTTCTTGAACTGTGAAGGGAGAGTGTCCTTTTCAGTCCCTCCCTTTTGTCCGTTTCGATTAAGGTGATTTTTGTGCCTGATCGCGGTTCTATCACTACTCTGTAAGCCATGTTATGGACTACAGGCTGGCAGGCAAAGTGCGCTTACCAATTTTTTCGTGTGCAGCGGAGATACGAAATGCCAGGCGAAGTGACATTCCACTGCATGAATATATTTATTTTTTTGTTTTCACGTCCGTCCGAATTTGACATATTACACTGGCACAGAAATTGACATTCTATGTCCCCAGTGGCCTCGATTGTCTAATGCTGCACGAAAAAATCAACTTCGTCGCAGCATATTTTATCTCCCATATGCTGGGCTGTGTTAATGGCACACGCGCAGCAAGGACAAATGAATATACAAAGTTTAGAGGATGTCACGTGAGAACGTAAAACAGCTTTAACGCCAGCTGCGACTGAGGAGATCGAGCTTTGAGCAATACGTTTCGTAAAACTCATATTTCATTTGATTCCAGAGGTGATCGTGCCCACTATTTGACCAATGCCTAGTGAATTGGGAACATGAAAATCTGATTGAAGACGTTATAATAATCTAAGGTAAGATAGCATTTCATTGTATCTTGCAGTTTTCATAATTCTGTGATTTACTTTTTCGGTCCCATCGTACTGCCGACGTTTTTAGTTTCACAGCAAACATGGGTCATGATAATGTCCTAAACGCCAAGTACGCGATTGATTTTCGAGTGTCGAGGAGCAGCTCAACTGTAATTGTAATCGCACTGTGTGTTTGTCTATGGAGCCGTAAATTAATCAGCCCCAATGAGTGTCCGGTGTCTCAGATGCAGATGATATATTTAGTATGTGCAGTAAATCCACTTGCCTGGGAATTTTAACTTGCTCCGCACAGTACTCATACACGCCCGCATGCCGGTACGACGCACGTCCAGATTGAATCGCGCAGCGGTGGGGATTCAACCCAGGATAAAATGGGTCCTGCAGCGTGAGCCTTCGCTCCACGTGCTCCGGGTTGGTGTGAGTTAGCACACTCGTACACCGATCTCCCGTAACTTAAAAGAAGCTTCGTTCGATCTACCAGGACCTCCCGCACCGGGGCAGAAAAGTGTATTGCAGTGTATGTACCGGAAGTACATACACTGCAATACACTTTCCTGCAGCGGTGCAGGAGGTGACGGAAACTCGAACGAAGCTAGTGTTTAATTAGCCATAGGCATCGAACAGATATATGCGAGGCGAGAACGCCACTTCACAAAGCAATACAGTGGAGGAAGTGTATTCTTCCGTCGTAAGCATATTGTATAACATGCTTACGACGTGCATGTAATTTCCTATCTTTATCGCTGTCTTCGCCAGTTCTCACAGAATTTGTAATAATGGACAATGAGGTGCACCTACGATGTTCGAAGGAACTCCTAAGAACAAAAGGCATCCGTTCAATGGCAAAAAACAAAAAAGGGGGGAAAAGGCATATTTGAGTTTCAGGGCCGGTCTCATGCAACTGTTCGGGTCAAAATAAAACAAACAATACATCGGAAGCATTTTGTTATTTATTTAGATCGGAGCATATAAACCACTTTTATCGGTCGTACAAAGACCTAATATAACTTTTTTAAATTTTTAGTCACGCCTTTTCAATTCTGCTACTAATGACATGAAATATACACACATCGGTTTCGACGAGAAGTCACTGATTTCAAGATGGGAAGCAATTAAAACAAAGCAGCGACGTGTTACTGTGGATATTTTTAACTAACCAGAAAACACGAGTGATAATAATATTCTAAACGAGACGTATACCTTTTATGTTCGTGTACCGAGGAGCAACACGTACTGTCCGCAAAAAACACAACTACGACTTCGTTCGCGTAGACGACAATTTAACAAGAAATTCCGTGGCGCCAGGTGCTACGCGTTTTGCAATGCTTTTACTCATCATACGAAAAATGTATTGCTTCGTGCTATCGTCAAAAAGGATCACAAATGCTACTGTTGAAGAGCTTTCCTTCCGTTCAGAAGGAGGACAGTGACACTTTAATATAAAGCTTTAATTTTAAAATACGTATGTATCTATAGCTGTGCATAATATGAACTTAAAACAGCAGAGAGAGAAAAAATATTCGCCTGCGTGCATTATTTTCATAGCTCATAAACACTTGCGTATGCGAATTTCCGCCCAGTTGTACCAATAATAGCTAACAATTTAATAAAAGTGTTCTTGTCTTATTTTTGTCCCTCCACTACACACCGGCGTGTACGCTATCGCTGCCGTCCCCTAAGTCGGAGAGAAAATCCTTGTTTCAATTGATTATCAACATACCACTACGATGACTGCAAAGTTCTCATTTCACTGTTTCTTTTGTCGGTTATTCTTTATATGTTATTCTATCGTTACTCTGGATGGGTCGTTTATATCTAATAGCTGCCCCGCCCCCTCCCCAACATCTTGTGTCGTTAATAATGTCTAGCTATTTAACGCATTCATGAGCATATATATATATATTTTAATTTTTATTGTCGCCTTTCTTTTTGGCAGTCGCAGGCGCGAGATTGGGTGAATGTCAAATGGAGTAATTTTTTTGTTGTATTCCTTCTTCTCCAAAAATACCTATATTCGCCATCATAAAGTAACGAATATAACTTACTCGTTCTTTCACGCGAAAAGTGATTAGCTCGCTAAATTCGCTACCAACACCATACGAGAAAGAAAGAAGCAATGCTCTTTCCGCCCTGACAAACCATGTTGTACAATAAAATATATATTTTAATCTGGCAACGGAAACAACAGAAGACCTTCCCTAATCTTGTTTTTTTCGTCCGTATTCGAAAACTCTCCCATATGTACTACACTTTACGCTTTAATGATCATGTTGGGTTTGTTGCCATTGAATCAAATATACCAACGACACTAAACCAACCACATTCGTTCCCGCGACTGTCTTCTTTTTTTTTTTCGTCTAACCGTAGCCACTTGCTTACACCCCATCAAAGCAGGTCCGTGCCTCCTAGCCCGCCGTTGGTGCCACATTGCAACACATTTCAGAACATTGCCAAGGAGATTGATAAGACAGTCGGAGTAGACGGGACACCTTGACTGCTTTAGCAAGCTGAACGAAAGGAATTTAAAGGTGCGCGTGACTGAACGTACATTTAGCGAAGCATAAGAACCAAGACCTGACTTCTGCGGGAAGGAACGCGGCACTATTCGGCCCCGTATTTTTTGTGCCGTTATCAGATAAGGCACTGGGTGGTCGCCGTGACTTCAGGCGCACGAAGGTGTCCCCGTGCAGTGTTGTTTAAGACGGCGTGCTCACGAACGACTTTCTCTAGGCGCATTCAGCAGAAGGAGGACCGACCTTATATCTGACATTGCTGACACTACAGTACGGGAATTCGTTGGATTGGTTCAAGAGTACGGCAAGTGGTACAAAACGTTCTTTCTTTTTTTATTTATATATCGCTTAGTATTCTAGCTTAATTTCGGAATTATGGTTCGTCAGCTAGTATTTATAGTGTGAGTTAGTGTTTGATCAATAATCTCAGCTTATTGCTTACTCCTTAAGAAAGCAAAGTGGCAAATTGTCTTCTCAAATTGGATAGACTTTCTAATTGTAAACACCCAATTTGATATTGTGGGCGTCACCCTACAATAGGTTACGACTGCTCATGTAAAAAGGGAATTTTAGTTGATTTTTTTATTTCCTTCGATTGGAAGGTAAGGTAAGATTACTTTTTTGTAGTTAGCTTAGATTTAGAAACCTTACGCGACTTCCTTTGTGCGAAAACGCAGTTCTTCGCAACACCAACAGTTATGAGCCCATTTTGGTTCGTATTCATAAACAAGTACAATAATTTTGTACTAACAGTAAATGAACTAGAGTAAGTTCCTATTTTAACAAAACTTCTGCCGAAGTAAAATTAAAAAAAAAAAATCTCCTTCTTCTTCTTCGGTTTGAAAGAACAAAAAAACGTTATTTGAGGATCGTCACGGAGCTATACCTTCATCTTGCTTGAGTGTGCCGAAGGAAAAACGTATTTTCGAACTTCGTGCGACCTCCAAGTGCGATGTGTGTGTGTGTGTGTGTGTTTGTGTGTGTGTGTGTGTGCGCGTGCGTGCGTGCGTGCGTGCGTGGTTGAGTGAGTGCGCGCGTGCGTGCGTGCATGCGAGTGTGTGTGTGTGTGTGTTTGTGTGTATCTGTGTTTTTAAGGAAACTTAATTTTTAACAAGCTTTTTGTATGCTTGAATATATAGGACGCACATGTCATAAATTGAAGTTTTCTCGATATACAAATTAGCGCAATATTTACGTCGCGAGACACGTTTTCTGGTCGGTGCCATTCTAAAGCTTTCTTCAATTAGGGCACGTGGACACGAAATTAAAGCATGTTTTCGAGCCACTCTTAGGGACAGTGAGCTCAAAAAATATAATTTTAAGTTCCTGATTTGCGCACGTTCCTTTCCAAATAAACTTCTTCTGAAAAGAAGATAGCGCACGAATTACGTTAGGAGACTCGTTTAGAGTGAGGGTTAATTGAGTCTAGCCGTATCTCCACATAAGTACTGTTCTCAAACCCTTTTTCAAGAACTGATCTTAATTTGTTACATACCTATGCTATTACGTTACATAATTGTTTTTCTTTTATGTTCAGTGTCGCTTTAATGAAAATATATTAAAAAATATCTGGCTCACTTTATAGTTTGTTTTCACGAGTGATAAATAATTCATGTCGTATAGATTTCCAAGAATTAAGTTATTGGAAAACAAAACTGATATGATTGCGCATCACAGCATGCTCTTAATACAAACCGCATGTTCGGTTTGCCGGAATAACCTGCTGCATGTAAATAATAATAAAAAATTAACAGATCGCTTTAAAAAACAACGTAACATTTTGGTAGTTACAAGGGGCTCACAACATTGCTGTGTAATGTTTTCAAAAACTTTATACTCCCTATCTTTTGTGATAAAAAAGTGTTTTAATGATCTGAAAAACAAAATATTGAGGCCTCTTAACCCGAAAAATCTCCAACATAGCTGCTCAGACCTCGACACATGAGTGATGGTTGTAGGACGGATACTCCGCAATTAACCGGCGTCAGGCGAGTCATGTTTTTACAGCGACTGTATTCGCAGTTTCGCAAGCTGTAACCTCGTTTCCTCGTAATTGTCGCATAGTGCTTCAAATGTTTTTTTTTCTCGACTGTGTTCACCCTGTTTTTTGTTTATTTTTCTGTTATTTTTTGTTCTTGTTTTTTTGTTCAATTGGCATTCCTACAGCCGTCTCACCACTAGCACCCCACGGTGTCTGTTTTGTTCGAAAATAATTTGGATGACATCGCCATGCCGCCCGCGGACTCCACCCAGAAATGAGCTTTGGATTTTTTTTTTTTTTTTTTGTAGTTTGCGTTATTCTTAAACAACTGATTTCGTCGTGTGAGTAGTTATTCAAGTTTCTGATAATAAACACCGTAATTTACTTCACCTGATAAAGCGTGCAAAAACCAGGAAGAAGCAGTAGGTTTCATCACAACCCTTTCGGAGAGGCCATAGTGAAATGTCTGCTTTTTGCAATGGAAATAAAAAAAATATCGTAGCTGGTTGCGTAGAATCATTATCACTTGTGCAGTGGCAATACATGTTTTCAACTTCCAACGGCCTGAGAAAGACGAACACTTATCACATCAAACTAAATAAACCGTTTTGAATTCATATTTCACCTAAATGAAAATTAGAAGAGTTTTGATAGCATTAAAATGCTTGGTGTTGGCACGTTCCGCGCAATATCTAACAAGTCTGACTGTCGACTTTAAATATTTTCATCCTTAAGACATGTCAAAGGAAGTGCATATTCCGAGTGATTTCCGATTGGATAATGTTTTCTGTTCGGATCTCTCCTTTCCCTCAAAGTGAGGATGACCACCCCAAGGCAACCATTGGTGAAAGAGGCCCAGAATGGAAGCAGTGATGGTCTCGACAGATGCTGGCATATTCCCGTAATCGCAGCCCTCGCAATGTTGGCAGCCTCAATCGGAAGGCAAAATTCCGGATTCTTCTACGTGGGATTCATGGAAGTGTTCAGCATCAATCGATCGGATGCATCCTGGCCAAACAGCGTGACATCTGTCCTCATAAATTTGTCAGGTACATACAAAGCGCAATACAGCACAACCCCAAAACTATTTTTTCACCTTTTACGCCCGAAAGTATAACATCAAGATCGGTAGCATTGTATTAAGTTGGACATCAACTTCGCAAATTTTCTTGTTTTTCGGTATCCTGCATATATACCGATGCGATACGGGCTATCTGCTGGGAACCGGGTAGGTATACCCACAGTGAAATACACTTCCCTTTATAAGCATGCTCTTGTCAAATTTAAGGTGCTTCAAGCACAAATATAAATATCCATTAAAATATAACTCAATATTTCCCTGATGCACTCAAAGTATGGGATTTTGTCAATACTATACATATGATTCCTTTGAACCATCCGGGGCTCATATTCAAAATGCATGCGTTATTGTTTGAATACATGGCTGCTTCAATGCACTTGGGCACGTGTCTTGTAGTATTAATACTAACCAGTTTATACAGCGCTAATTTATATTACTGTTTACTCATATTGGAATTAATGGCTGTAACCGGCTGCATTAATCGTCATTTTATTTTCATTTATTTATTGAAATTGATTGGAAGGACTTCGGTTGTTACAAACGAGGTGTAAAACAATTGTACAAAGCATCGACATATGACGCAATATATTTTCATAAACATATATCAAAAACAAAACAACTAATTCCAAATAACTGCGCAGCAAGACACCAAAGGACCAAAATTAAAACTCAAAGTACATTAAAACATTAAAAAAAACATTTATATAAAATTTAGATGAACCAACTGTCATCACGCAAAAATAACCTTGAGCAGAAACCAGAAAGACAAGAGAGCAGAAGATATGTCGAAAGCTACGAATATTCAAGTCATCGCAATTAGTGCAATGGTAAGCTTCCAATTGATATATGAGCTAGTAATATGCATGAGACCTCTTGTGGCAGTGCGCCGAGGCAACGGTCGGGAGCCGCAGAACATGAAGAGCGTATAAATTGCACGTGACACACTTCTAATGTGGTCGTACTTAGTCTGGAGGTCATGGACGTCACCTAAAAAATTAAAGCTTTTACAATTGATGTCACAGGTGAGATTCCCAGTATCCCGCTTGACGGCCCCTAGAAATTATTCAACTAGCAAGGACGTGCTCTGCACATTGCCACCACCAGCGTCTTCATGAAGTGGCGTGGTCAAGACTAGAATACCTTTGAAAATACTAGCTCTCTTCGCCATTTTCCTTCACAACCACCAAACCTCCACAAGCTGATTTCTACAGCAGTGTCCCAAGAACCCAGGTCATCAAAGTCCGTAAGCACGAAATGATTTTGAACAATTTTCGGACCATCGTGGTGTCTTTGTAGCGGTTGAAAGCTCAGTCAGTACTCACCAAAAGTTATGGTCTCTCCTGGATTAGGCAAGCCGATGCATTTCATTGTTGGTGTTTATTCTTCAGAATCCGCGGATGTGCTGTGAAATTTGGCACTGATACATTCTATGCCGGCATAATGTTCGTCCTGCAGCATATCGTCAAGGGTGACAAAATAATCGCCTGACCACCGGGTGAAAGCGCTAGCGAAAGTGCCGAACTTTGCTGGTGCAGATGGAATGTGATGCTGGCCTGAAAGTTTTAAATGGACAAATTAGCATGAACATTCTTGTCAACATTGTGAATGCCTGAACGTTTCATATCAGAAAACACTTGTGGGAAGAAGACTAATGCAAAAAGACTGTCGAACTCCAAGTCAAAGGGGCAAAATTGTGAAGCAGTAATAGCGTTAGTAGGGAAGGAAACATTCCTTGAATAACCATCCTTCGAATAAATAGGCCTCACCCCTGTGCTGAAGCTTCGACTAAACTGTAACGTAGTCATTTTGTGTAGTACAAGCTCAGCAGACTGGGCCTCGAACTACCTCGCTTAACTTTTACCTTTCTGTGTAGTGTTGACAAACGGAAAAACACATTTCGACGTCCGAAATCGGCTAGACTAAGCACCGCAAGTCAAACGAAAGTGCCAGATTCATGCCACTACCATAGGGTACGTGTCTTTTATATGTGCGTGGTGACGTTGAAACCTGTAAAGTTCTTGCGATTTTTACTTTTTGTTTGAAGGCTTGAAACAGCGTATTTTGTTTCACGCTTTTGGCATTTTAGCTTTGACTTTCACTTCGACGGCGTTCGAACTTTTTGTTGATGCTTTGTATTTTCTTCGTGACCTCGCGTTCTCCACCAGTTTAGGCACGCTTCTACATGCGTGTAAGTTTGAGAGGCTCATGTTTTTACTACATAAAACAAGTTCTAACAATTAAGTCCCTTTTGGGTCCCTCTTCGCAACGTCCCCTGTGCAACGCAGAAGACTCATAGCAACTGTACCAGCTTTACTATAGTAGGTGACGTCCACAAGGTCCAGACCGAATTCTACAGGATTGGAAGTGTTTCACGTGCAATCTACACGCGCTTCGTCTTCATCTTTCACGGTTCCCGGCAGGTATCTCAGGCGAACCGCTACGGTATGGTAACATTTTATTGAAAGAATAAGCAAGCTATATATAAAATGATCCATGTTTTCACAATCTATGCGTTCTGAGGATGGTTGTCACACATTACTGCCGTTCCGTGAAAAAGTCTCTGTTTTGTTATTATGGTAACTCAGAGCCCTATGTCAACGTAAACCACTACAACGGGATAAAGCGTATTCAGCGGCTATTATGTTTATAGCTATAGTTGTCTTGGTTTATATTTCAGGAGTCCTGCTCTGGTTACTCAGGTGTCGTCTGTCTGCTTACCAAATTACTTTGATCGGCAGCATATTAACCTGGACTGGCATTGTTGCGTCAGCTTTTGCTCCCAGTATGCAATGGACAACCGCCACATTGGGCGCTATTTACGGTATATAGTTATTTCTAATATTTTATAACATGCATTAAATAAAAAGAAAACATTTAGTTAACTCCATTGAAACGTTTTAACACAAACGCACCTTACTAGTATAAGCTGCGAGGTACCATCTTGCCTGCACTCTACAGTACTTATTACATACTGCCGAGCCTGTCAATTTCACTTCCAAGTGGGTTCAATACAAACCAAAACGCATATCTTCTGGGTGCCTGCCAATTCACTTTCTTTTAACCTGATCTCGAACGAACTGTATACTTTGTTCGATTCTTGTAAAGTCGTAAACGATGTAAGCTGGAATGACCGAGCGGCGGCCGAAACCTACCAGTCGCTCTGCTTCGACGCGAGAAGTTGAACCACTAAGTAAGGAGAGCGTTCGGTCGGGATTCTATATGCTCTCTCACACAGCCTAACTGTTCGGGCATCAAAAAGTTCCCTTGGCTGGAGCAGAAAACACGTCTTAAAATAATTAGGTGGCAACAAGTCTGGGTATTGGAAGTATCACACAGTAAACGTGAGTCACGTCTTAATGCTTAAATAAAAAATGAAAAAGAAACGGGTCTAGTCAGATAGTAGTGACCACCGCCCCCTCGCGCTCAACCTGTCACATCGAGAAAGCTCCACCGGTACTTTTTGGTCGTTACTAGATTGTTTCAGCTTACATTGTTTACGACTGTACAAACGATGAAAGGCTTGTTTGAACACGTGAGATGGAAGGTCTTTATGATCCGCACTCAGGGTGTTTTTGGTATCCTGAGCGTCTTGAAGATACTTTCTTTGGTGACACATTTCTGGCTAGGGGAAGGGCATGAAGTCAGCAGGGATCAGATCTGGTAAGGCGGTCTTCAAGCTTAACTACTTTTTCCTTGGAGTAAAAGAAACTGTAGAATTAATGGCAGCTTGTAACCTCACCTTATCATGAAAAAGGCGTAAGGAACCGGACAGGATGCTACACAGTCCCGAAAGAACGTCCAAATACGATCATGATTTGCATAGGCCTAGACAAAATCACAAGGCATTGAACAACCCAAATTCCGTAACTACGCCTCCTGCGTCGAGCTCGTCCGGGAATTTAGTTGACGGACTTGGTGTGCATCAAATATAAGGATCATAAGGCATCAGTGAGGCTGAATCGATGGATCACATTCATGGTGCTAAGCATTTTAGCAATCCCAGTTTATCACGACCTGAATCACACAAGGCATCATGCGGGACACCGCATTGCCTGAATGCGTTAATTGTGCCCAAGAACATGTTAGTATAACCAGCGGTCACGGCTATAGGCGCTCACACTCCTGGCCTTTTTTGTCTGCCATGCAGATTGTATTTATAAATCAGTAGCCTTTGAAAACCCGCCCATACTGATCTCGATAACACAATGCTTCCGATGGCCAATCTTCTACGATATAGTCAGAAACGTTTAGCGTATGAAGCGGCGTTATAGCGAATATCTTGTACTAGTGTACGGCAAACCTAAACATCACATAGAACACGTGTAATGGGTAATATGTTATATTACCTATTTATGCCACCACATCAGTTACAAGTGTTTATAAATAATTCAAAAAATTGCTTCCTGGTAACGATAATAAATGCACATATTCGACGGCTTAAGCAATTTAATATTTAAATGAATTCAATTAATGTAATTCACCAGTTTAACTACGTTTTTGAAACATTTACGGTCATTCAACAACATTTTTGTTGCCAGATGCATTTTATTGCAATTTAGTGCACCTTATCGAAGTTTTGCTATAAATTATACACTTAAGGGTGTCCACCCCCTCCCTGGCCTTATGTCCAATGGCAACACTGATCTAACGTATAGTCTAACCCTTATTAGATCATCGGAGACCATGCATCAGGCTTCTTGAGGCTGGTTCACACATTTATGTTTGTTTACGACAAACTTCGTGCGAAGGCTTACGAGCAGAGAACAATCTCACTCGAGCACCATCGTTTAGGTGGCCCTGCAAATGAATTTCATTAGAAGGGAGGTTTCGAGTATTTTGTAGATCCAGCTTTTCAAGCCAATAAAAAATTATGTTGGCGGAACTATTATGAAAGGTATGCCGAAATCACAAAGGATTAAAGGCTACCCAAGAGATCGCGCCAATGTCCTCTTTCGTCCTAAGATATCACAATAAATAGGGATGCCGCGAACCACCCTAGGTTTGAATTCAAAAGGTTTCGATATTTTCGAACTGAACTGAGGTTCGAATTCGAAAGATTTCGATATTCTCGACTGTACGGAGGTTTGAATTCGAAAAATTCGCAACTTACAAAAACCGTGGATTTTCGAATTCGAAACGTTCGACGTTTTCACGATTTCTAAAAGCTCGAATTCGATTATTTCGAACTTTTTTTTTACTTGAGGTGCGATAAATTCGTAAATTTCGGACTTTCCTAACTTGAAATTCCAGAGATTCGAATGTTTAAAATTTATTTGGATCTGAAATTCGAAAAATTCTAACTTTTCGAATTTTTATAAACATAAAGTACGTTAAAGTCGCAGATTTCGAATTTTTTTCTACATAAAGTTCGAAAAGGTCGAAGGTTTCGATTCTCTTTTAGAGCTAAATTCGAAAAAAAAAGAAACTGTGAAGGTTTCGATTTCTTTCAAGTCCAAGTGCGCAAAGTTCGAAGTCCGGTTTTCATGATCCGCCACCCAGTTTCAGTTTTAAATAACGTTTTCACGCCCCACTGGCTTTCAGGAAATCAGGTTTACAAAAGTTCGGGTGTGATATTTAGACTGCGCGAAGTTGGTCAGGCAATTAAATGAGACGACGAGTCTCCCGGATGCACTGGAATATTTGCCGGTGCAGAGTGACGCGTGACAATAGATCAGTAATTGTGAACGCCAGCCCGTGGGGGTCATGAACGTGCAGCACGAAGTAGTGATCACACGAATGCACTGTTTAACGATACTCATCCAGTTCGAAATCGCCAGTGGCGGGCAGGTGGTTGAGGCTCAGAAAAACCTTGAAGCGATCTGTCAAACTGCCTCCTTACCCCATTGCACGCTGGTAGTAATCCGTTCGAACGCCGCTCGAGTGACGCTGGCATATAGTAAGTTTAGTTTGTACATGATGCAAAACTCTGAGACTGGGAATCAAATTTTAAAGAAAAAGTGTAAAAAGACAGAAAAAAGAGGACAGGATAACGTCCAAAACTCAGCTTAGGACAACGTCTCAAACTTAACTCAGCTGTAAACTCAGCTCAGGATAACGTCTCAAACTATATTCAGCTGAGTTTGAGACGTTGTCGTGTCCCTTTCTTTATTTCTTTTTACACTCTTTCTTTCGAACTTCATTCCCAGTCTCAGGATTTTGCATCATGATCAACATACACTAACTCGCCTGCACCTTGACAATTTTTTAGTTTGTAATTGCCTTGGAGGTTTATTTTCCGGAACGGAAGAAACGCCGAGCAAAAAGCACAGCAGCCGACACAATTTGAGGTCGAGGAGCGTTCTGCCATATCAGTGGCGTCGGAATAGAAAAAACGGAGAGGAAGGGGGGGGGGAGGGGGGGCCTCCAGTTCCCCCCCCCCTCCTCCCAGTTATTTCGGACTGTTAAAGAAAACAATACGGGGAAAGAGGGCATGGTCGAGCTGATTTTAATCTGAAATTATTTATGCATATGTACAGCTACTGTCGCTCTTCACTGCATAAAAGATCGAGTGGACGGTCATTGTTAGAAACTCGTTGTCAGAAGGCACTACTCGTCACATGCTCGGTGGTTCGGAAGTTGAAAGATATGTGTTTTCAACCTAAATAACTGTGCCATCGGTAAAAAATAATAAATAAATAAACATAACAATAAACGCAAAAATGAAAAGCTGGAAAAAAAAAAAACTATCAAGAACCCGCCGGAAGTGTTGTACTCTTGGATATTCAGAGGCCCAGAACTACGAAACAAGTTTCCCCTACCAAAATGTGTACAGGCTAAAAGAAACACGTCCCAGAAACGTAAAATAAAGAAGAAAAAAAAAGTTTTTTTAATGACGTGCTGAACTTGAACAAGTTTAGAAATCTTCAACTATGAGTTAATTTATTCCTAAACGTAAAAAAAAACAATAAATACATTATTTTGTATTCTGCAGATCGTAATGATATGCACTGTCTGCGGTGTTAACTTAAATGCAATACCTCTAACAATTTAGACGAAAAAAATTACCAAGTTTAGGGCACAACTTCCCGTAGATACATGTTTGGATATTTCTTCGAAACTCGTCTTGAAGAACAATAATCACATCTTAAGACGAGTCTTACCTAGGCTATACATAGATCATTCTTAAAAGGTTTAACATTTCTACCATAAATAGCTTCGTCTATAGCGCGCTTCAAATATGGCACAAACGGCAATTGTCAAAAGCCCGTCGTCCTTCCTCGCCCCTTCGGGAATCTATTTCTTTAAAACCAAGCATGCCAGCTGATTGAAATAAACGACATTGTCTTTCGCGAGGAATGCGGCACCGCATGGAAGAATGCGAGAAAAATAAAATAACGAATGTACCTCACTGCTTGAATCCAAATGAAACCGCCCGCCGGTCTTTCGAAGTTCGACGAACTTCGAACTTTTACGCTAAAAGGTCGAAGTTCGTCGAACTTTTGACTTTTCTGGAATCGAAAGTTCGACAATTTTCGTATTATTTAGATTAACAAGGTCGAAAGTTCGAAAAGCTTCGAACTTTCTAGTGCAAGAAGTCTAAAGATCGAAACAATCATTGAATTTTTAGTCTATCAAGGTCGAAAGTTCGACAAGTATCCAATTTTGCAGCGTAATAAGTTCGAAATTTCGAAAAGCGTCGAACTTCTTAGTTTATAACAAGGTCGAAAATTCGACTTCCGTCGAATTTCTCGATATGGAAAGTTCGAAGATTCGAAATCTTTCGAACCTTTCGAACCGCCCGATTCGATCGCTTCGAAAAATGTTCCCGGCATCCCTAACAATAAAGCAGGGGGCCCATGAAGGATGAAAACGGGCGCCGGCGGCAGTTTCCATAGCGGCTTGCGCGGACGCTGTGACGTAGACCTATGCCATGCCGCCAGCCCGGGCAAGTTGCTATGGTCCGCCACACGGCGCCCTCTCTCATCACTCATGTGCTCCCTGCTTAAGTTTTAATGTACTCAGTCGTAAGCAGTCACAAGTGTGTGAACCAGCCTTTACACGTAACACATGAAATGTAAAAAAATTTAACAATAAAAATGTGCTTGCTTGGTAGAAGAGCGTGTTGGTTTAAGTCATGGATGAAGAAAGAATAAACAATTAAAACAGGGACAACACAACCACATCTTTCAACTAGCAACAGACGAGTAAACTTTCAACAGCGAGCAGCCGACTGTACCCAGTAGGAGGGGGGGAGAGAAGGGGAGAGAAGGAAAGATAAAACACGCTAAGTGCAAGTCAGGGTGGTAGGGTTATCTCAGATTTTAAAAATTCAACCTCAGTTTTCGTCAGCAATCATGCACGAAAAGAAATTCATTCCATGCAAAGAGAAGAAAGTTTACGCCATCCCATTGAGCTGTGGCCATCAATACATAGGACAGACCGGCAGATGCACCAATCACAGACTCCGCGAACATCACAACGAAGTTTCTAAGGCCTCTCCAGATTCTTATAATCCCATAGTCATACATGCCCGTTCGTGTTTGCGTTGTCCTCCCCTCTTTGATGACACAAAAATCCTTGGGGGGCATGACAGCAGATTCGGCAGGGAAATCATAGAATCATTCGCCATGACCACAGCAAAAAATAACGTGTCAAACCCTTCCCTCCTGCTGACGAAAACTGAGGTTGAATTTTTAAAATCTGAGATAACCCTACCACCCTGACTTGCACTTCGCGTGTTTTATCTTTCCTTCTCTCCCCTTCTCTCCCCCACTCCTACTGGGTATAGTCGGCTGCTCGCTGTTGAAAGTTTACTCGTCTGTTGCTAGTTGAAAGATGTGGTTGTGTTGTCCCTGTTTTAATTGTTTATTCTTTCTTCATCCATGAATAAAAATGTGTTCTGTCATTGGATGAGACTGAACAACTAATATTCTCCTTTTTTGTTTCAGGTACCGGTGTGGGAATCGTCACGTTATCTCTCGCCTACATTAACATCTTATACTTCGACCAGTACCGGGGAATAGCTTGTGGCGTAAAATTCGCCGGCGTGTATTTAGCATCACTAATTTTCCCGCCGGCACTCGTGTATTTTGAGGAAGCGTATGGCTTCCGTGGCGCTCTACTTCTGAGTGGTGCTATCACAATGCACGTAACAGCCTTTTGTCTCCCGCTAAACGTGCCCCAATGGATAAGACACAAAACGGAAGTCCGACAGCCCATCAAGTCTACGGAATTCTGTACTATCAACGGAACACAGCTCTCACAGGGCAGCTCTGCGAGCAGGAATACCTCCGGAACAAACATTTCTAAAGTCTCAGAGAGTATTCTAGAATCCGTCAGGCTTCTTCGGATGCCAGTTTATTATGCGATTGTTGCATATACCGTCATATCGGATTTTGCGGCCATGGCATTTCAATCAACGATTGTTGACTATTCAATAGATAAAGGCTTCTCTCTGGAAACAGCTGAGTCTATGGTTGTGTATTCATCAGTTGCCCAACTGGCGGGATGTTTAATTGTCCCGCTTCTGGCTGACCGCGGATTCATGAGCCGGAGCACACTAATCGTGGTCAATCTCATCGTTTTCGGTTGCTCACTGTTAATCCTTGCAGAAGTTGAAAAGTATGCGTACGTTCTCATTGTTTGCCTTTGTGTAGCAATCCCCTCAGCATTCCTCACTGCCATCAAAGCTGCCATTATCACTGACTACCTTGGAGCGGATGCAATCCCATTGTGTTGTGCATTGTTGGGACTATCAACGCTGCCCTTGTTTTTGTGCAATCCTACAATAATAGGTGAGCTGTTTTTTCTCTTTAATTTCTGAGCTTAACGCTTCGGATCGGGCGTAGGCTAGCGCCCCCAGCCGGTGCTTTAAACTTTGACGGCGTATATATCCCACCCTTATGTGACTTGAGGATAACTACAGGAGGGCACTTTAGACCGCTTAGGTGTAGGAATGCGAATGCATACGTATGCGTAGCGTATTCCTACAAGGTGCGCGCTCCGCAATCCTCGGCAGAGGCAGGCCGAGAAGCCTCTGCGGAGGCCGACCTGCCGGGCTCTGGAGAACAACGCACCTGCCGCTATTCAGAGCGGTGCCTGGCTCGTCGCAGTCATTTGAATAGTCCTTTTGCGGAGGGAATTTTTCTGCCATTTTTCGCGGTTACGGATAACGCCGGTTGCGTTTAGAAGATAACCCCTTTGTCACTCTCGAAAGTAAAAATAATAAAATGCTTAATATTACATTGACCTGCTCCACCAATCCTGTAATCAGTGTCAAAAATTGTCTACTTGCCCAACATTTTTTCTTTCGCTGTGATTAGCCGACACCGCATTTACTAAATTAATTCTGCCCTCAACAACTACAGGGTGAAACGCTGTGCAATAAGATATCAAAGCATAACGCACTGTACCCACGTCTTGAATAGTTAGCACCCTGCATATGAGTTCGCAGCACTCCCGTCTTGGCCTCAAACAACAAGTCCTCTCTCCAGAATTGTCATATATTCTTTCTTTGCCAATATCCGCCTTCAGTGATAGATATATCTCCAAGAGAAATTTAGTTTGTATACACATATCTGAACGTTATTTTTTTATGTTACTGTAACTTTTAACAAGAAACGCTTATAGGCTAGATTTGCAGGTGAAATTTAAAAGCTAACCGCGAATTTTCCGACTAAATTCAGTGGAAAAGGGGACGTCATATGGCTTGATATCACGTGACCTATACGCAAATTTAGTTTCTCTTCTACATTTAGCGAAAACATTTACGTCACATGACCTACACGTAAATTCAGTTTACCCGCTGCCTGTCATTCCCCATACTCCGAGGACACAAGCCGACCCGATGGGAAGAGTCAAAGGGTCAATTAGTCGAGTGGGGTGTGGAGAACGTTTCGTTCGTTCGTTGTTGCTGCGTGAAACCAAGAATGTTTCACGTAGTAACACAATTGCAAAGTAATTTGCAATACATTTTTCTCTAAACTGGGATTTTCTGAGGTTTCCCACTATTGTCCAAAACTTTTGATCTTTGTTTTTTTAGCTATTTTAATTTATTTTCTGGCGTAAATGTTATCTGGAAAGACCTCAAAAATGCTCGTGCCCATCGTTTTTTTTTTTTTTTTTTAGAATGTATTTTGTTTGTAGCGTGGGTTCTATATTTTTTTTTTTTTTGCCTCCGATAGGAACTTTATTGTACCGGCTACCAGTCGTGTAATCACTAAACCAGACAACAAAAATTAGTTATATTTTAACACTTTTTTCAATCATTCATTTATTTATTTAAAAATACGCGCACAGCGATCGTTATCCTAATGTATTGGGTTTTTTCACCTTCTACAGTGTTGACTTCTGTGCTTTAAAACTGCAGGATATTCTACCAAACTCTATGTTTAATCTTCGTTTTGCCTGTGGCTTGCTCGCAAGATATTGCAGTGTTTATCACCACTTATATTCATTTATTTTTTAATAATACTGATTCCATTCGGAACGTTATTAGGGCGGTCAGGATATTTTTAAGAACACGTTAGTTGGTGCTTTAGTCTGAGAACAAGCAGTATGGGGGAGAAACTTATTAAAAGCATATGGTGAACATAAATGGGCCACACGAATAAATATATACACTGATCAGAACAACCGTTATGAGAATCGCCCTAATATCATGTTGATTTATCTTTGCCACGCAAGGGTCGTCTTCTGTAAAGCACTATATAAAAAGAAAGTTCAATTAACTATATGCCCAGAAACATTTGTATATTTGCCTCCACTGTATTTAGCTGTCAGTTGAGACACAGGTAGCCGCCTGTTTTTCCTTACCAAGGGGAAAAGCCTCCGACATCAACATTTTGTGATGAGGTCTGGACGTGCAACTCCTCGACGTCTTCAAGCAGTTTTATTTTCATTATTCTACTTTATATAGGTACTAACAACCGCAGCTCGCGAACGCGCGATGAGTTTTGCAGTATCCAAGAAACTTGTTCCGAGCCGTCGTTCCATTACGACCAGCCCCCTGTCAAAGCCGCCTAAACAAGTAGCCTTGCCCAATGCATAAACACGTAGTCGACTAAATACGTTCTCTTTATCCCGGCAGCCGTCATCCGCCATCTGCATAAACAGCTGGTATGTCACGCGCATGGCGCGTCAAATAGGGGTGCTCAATCACGGAGTGTGTGTGGCGGGGGGGGGGGGGGGGGGTGGAATGTTTGGCTGATCTGTGTATAGGATCCACAATACAACGTACAACGTACAACATGCTTTTGTGACAGATGGTATTTGAAGTCGCACAAACTACTGCGAACAGCAGGGGATCAGGTGAAAAGGAGAAGAACGACACAGCGGTTGCTGGGTGAAACGACGGAAAGGTGTGGCTGTAACATAATTGGGGGCAGCGGTGGGAGCCATGTAGAATGGCTGTAACGCAACAGTAAACTCAACATGGCCAGCTCATCACAGATCAGCATGACCAGCACAGAAAGCTACACAGGTAATGCCCTCGCTGCTCAACTACAGGGTTCAGCCATTGCAATACTAGCCCAACCCCAAGTCGCGGATTTAACTTAGCAAACGCTGGTAGCAGCACTTGTAGATCGCTTGAGTGAAAAACATCTTGAGGTTCGTTATGGTGAACTACGCCTTCTTCGACAAGGGCCAAATGAGATGGACTAAACCCTTGGAACTGGCATCGAGGCCCTTGCACGGAAGGCGTTCGTTGCAGTTACTATGGACACGATTCACCTTCTCAGCATTGCTGGTTTTGTCGACGCCATTCAATACACTAAGATTCAAAAGTTCTTTCGAATAGAATGATTGAAAACCGTTCCAGAGACTCTGAGAAATGTGTTGTAGCTCTAAATCATCCAGATAGTGATAGCTGATGCCTACACTGCTCGTCAGATATTGTCACAGCCAATTACCGATTTAAATATACCTCGATCACGCCAGCAACATCAGGAGTATCACCGAGCTCCGAGAATGAGGCGATGCTTCTAGTTCGAATGACAGATACACTTTGCGTCTGAGCGCAGAAAAAAGGGACACTCAAAGGGAACCTGATATCTTGCTCCAGGAGGGCAGAATCCCCTCACATCACTATCTAGACTTCGCAATGGTATTCCAACTATAAAAGTAAAAATTCAAGAGATATGGATGCAAGAAAGTATTCTTGACACAGGAGCAGCAGTCAACTTAATCAACGCGTCTCTCGTGTCGGCTGACTGTGATGGTTTCCAGCTAGCTCCTAAACTTTTAATATCCAACGGTGCCATAACTTGAACAGACTGACAGGTTACGATACTCGTCACCGCTTTCGTTGAAACATCGCTTGTAGACTTCGTAATTTTTAAAAACCTCCGTCTTCCCAATAGTCTTGGGTTGTGAGCGATGTAGAAAAAATATTTCTTTCCGGCTCAAGCCTGAACAAAAGGAAGTTGTGAAAACTTTTCGCACGCCACTGGAAACATGACGTATTGACACCTCGTGATGCAAACGTACTTTTATGTGGCTTATGTGCGTCGTTCGTTCTTTGCGAATCGTCGCCGTAGAAATCTGGCACATGTTCTTACAGTGTTTCTACCAGTGCGCCATGACGGCTTGTTCTCAAGTACAGCTCTTCGATAACTCAAACGTAGCTATCCGAAATAAGCAAACTATACCTGTCGAGGGTGCTTTATAAATATGCCTCACGACCGAATATCATAAGTTGAATTGTGAAGTTCCTTTTCATTCCTGGCTCTGTTCTAAACCTGGAAGAGAATTAGCTTCACTCTGAACACTTGCTTTGTGTATCAACGGAGAATTCGTGGCAGGGCATAGATCATCAATCTCCGCACGACAGACATTACTTTCATTTCGGAGGTGCGCATTCGACGTTCCAATGAGTGGTTGGAGCGTGCAAATGCGCCATTTGGTCACTACAGGCAATTCTTTACTGTAAGAACAGTTTGCATTTAGATCAAATTTGACTAGCGAACAAGAAACTGATATTAAGAGAGTACTCTTGTCACATCGACATTGCATTACCCTCAGCTCACATGAACTTGCGTGGACATCGTACTCAAAACACATTGTCCACACTGGAGAAAGTAGACCACTGATCTCTATGTCTATTTGCTGGATCGCGTTTGACCAGCTCCGCCTATGGACGGGAATGCGGCCACGGTCGGCCATCTTTTTGGTAAAGTTAAATTATCTCTAGCCATCATAGTAATATGACGGACAGCGCAATGGCGGCAGGCTGCCATAAAATAGCCGTGGATCTAGTATTCTGTACCGTGGGTGATATTTCGTGGTTGATTGAAGTTGTTCGACGAAGCAGATTCTTGAAACCCGGCGTGAAGGGTAGCCTCATCTTTGAGGACCCAGCGAAAGTTATATGAAAGCGCAACACCGTGGGAAAGCAGCGCAGCTCGCATCGAAAGCAGACTCCGTACCGGCGTCTGCTTTCGATGCTTCTTTCGATGCGACTTTCGATGCGTGCTCTGCTGCAATTTCCCCAATGCTGCGATTTCGTGAAACTTTCACCGGGTCCTCAAAGATCAAGCTACCGTTCACACCGGGTTTCAAAAGCATGTTTCGTCAAACAATTTTAATCAAGCACAATATATCACCCACGCTATTTTGATGGCAGCCTGGCAGCACAACTGCCACAACGTTGTCTGCCATGAATGGATGATAGTGGCTGCAGCAGCTGTACCTTGGCTAGAGGTGATATAACGCTATCAAAAAGGTGGCCGCCAGTGGCCGCATTCGCGGAGCGGGCAAACGCGATCCAGCAATTGTCATAGAGATCAATGAAGTAGACCCATACACCAACCACTACGTCGCTTAACCCCTGCAGATCGTGAAACCACTCAAAGCCAAAAGAATGAGATAATCGACCATGGTGTGACCAGCCCACTGACGAGC